TCACCCTTTTTTAACTGTTGTTCTTCGAGATGTGTTGCTCATATCTATTCCATTCTCTCTCTCTCCCCCCGCCCCCCCCCCCCGCCACCTTCCCATCTGTCAGAGTTGCTGGAAAGAAGGAACTGAAGGGGGGTCGGGTCGGCAGGGTCGTATATAGAGCGCCATATCTGCGCCACTCCAGGGGGCTCCACAGCCGGCCTGACGGGTGTAGGTGCTAGAGAAAAGTTTCCGACAGCCGTGCACACACACACCTAACTGGAATAGATATGAGCAACAAATCTCGAAGAACAACAGTTACAAAAAGGATGAGTAACCGTTTTTTTCTTCACTTCACCAGAGGGGTATAATAGTTTTAAGAACGCTTGATAGAGATCCTGTAGGTGTTTGTCTCTGTCTGAGGGATTGGAGCAAATGCGGATGTATCTTAGAGTTTGGCTGTAGACAATGGATTGTGTGATGTAGTCTGGATGAAAGCGGTCAGTAGGTTTCCGGTTGAGGCCTGGTCTACACTACGACTTTAATTCGGATTTAGCTGCGTTAATCCGAATTAATCCTTAACCCGTCCACACAACGGAGCCAGTTACTTCGAATTAAAGGGCACTTAAAATCGATTTCTGTACTCCACCCCGACGAGCGGAGTAGCACCAAAATCGATTTTGTTAATTCGAATTAGGGGTAGTGTGGCCGCACACCACCGAATTAATGTGGTTAAAATTAATGGGGTAGTGTGGCCGCACACCACCGAATTAATGTGGTTAAAAACCGAATTAATGTGCTTAGTGTGGCCGCGCACAATCGAATTTATACAATCTGTTTCCCAAATTCGAATTATCTAAATTCGAATTAATCTCGTAGTGTAGACGTACCCATAGTGTGGTGTTTGTGACCATAGCTTATTTGCACTGTAGTGTGCAGGAAGTGGATCTCTTGTGTGGACTGGTCCAGGCTGAGATTCATGGTGGGGTGGAAATTGTTGAAATTCAGTTTCACTGAACAGTGGAATAGTGTAAGTTCTATGATGAAAAAAAATGAGTTAATTTTATCTTTACAATTACTTCTTCAGTTTTCTTTTTCAGTATTGTTCTAATTGCTAAAATGAAGTTGAAATTGGCACTTAGCTGCAGAACAGTACTGCTATCCTCAATAGGTACACCTTATCTTCATCTAGAAGCCTCATTGGAAAAGGACTGGCCTTGCTTCATAAATAGAAGCTGCATGTGGTGATGGAAAGAGTAGTACGTGGAGGTTCTATCCTTCAAATTATGGAAGACATCCTGAACATATGAGGTTCTGTTCTTAAATCACATCTAGTATAGGCTGCAATAGAAATCTGTGTGGAAAACAAATATACCACTTCAGCTCTCAGAACCAATCTGAATTGTGCCAAATTTTGGGAAACCAAAACTGTCAAGACCTTAGTCTAGACTAGTGATCTTCCGAAATGAGTTAACTTGATTTCACTGATTTTGTTTGTAGGCCAAAGGGGAGTAGAAAGAATTGCCCCCTCTCCCCCACTGAAATGTTAATTTTTTGGCAGCAATACTTTTGACTAGTAGCCTTACAAATTGTGTCCCTTCCCTTATCTATGCCAAATTTTAGCTGCAATACATCATTTGTAATTATATAAACATTTTTAAATAGAAATTTATAGGGAACGGTGTTGGCAACACTTAATCTTCAACAACGAATATGTACATTCACAGATGGTTTGCTTACCCTTTGCTTAAGCTAATGCATAATCACTACTAGGAACTTCATTTGTAATCCCTTCATGAAACTAGAAGCGTTGCATTTGGACTGAATATTGAATTGTGGATAAGATAGAATCTTACCAAAGACTTAACATTGCTGGGTAGTATCTTTACATCTCTGTGTTGGGAGCCATGTAACTCCCAAACTATTTAAGGTACATTGTGTAGGAATATTGGGAGCTAGATGAGGAAATCCTAATATTAAAAGCAATTGAAATAAAAACACGAGTGATTTTTACCTTTTGAGTTACCTGAAGTTACTACTCTGGCTTTTATTGTGATTGTTCACCTCCCTCTTCCCTACACTGAGCTTGGGATTCTGTCTATATCAGTATGTCACCTTTTATCAGTGTATGTGATTCCCTATGGTTTTCAATATTATTAACTTAGAAGAATCTTAAATAAATATAAATCTTACAGATCCTTTTGGGCCCAGGATTAATTGTATAGTATACTGTGGGCACTATTGTTACAAGAATAAGTGATATTACTTCTGCCAGCATCCTTACTAAAATAGATTCACAAGATTGGAAAGTTAATTTTTGACCTGAAATTTTATTACCTACAAAAGGGGAATTTTAAAAGTTTAGAGGATTGTTAGTTTTATCTGTCACTATTTCTCTCTCCTTCCCCCGCCCCCCATGCTCCCCATTTAGCCTCTACTATTAATGTTAGAACTTTTTGTCATGGAAAAAAATCCTGTGTAGTTCATCCAGTAGCTAAAGGAGTTGAGAACTAAATATTTTCTTTTTTTCAATTATCATGTCCATCATTACGGAAGCTTGGTAAATGGACTCCTTCAATCTTACAAAGGGCTGGTTTACACTGGGGGGGGGATCGAGCCAAGATACGCAACTTCAGCTACGCAAATAGCATAGCTGAAGTCGAAGTATCTTGGATCGAATTACCTGAGGTCCACACGGCGCGGGATCGACGGCCGCGGCTCCCCCGTTGACTGCGCTACCGCCGCTCGCTCTGGTGGAGTTCCGGAGTCGACGGTGAGCGCGTTCGGGGATCGATATATCACGTCTTAACGAGATGCGATATATCGATCCCGGATAAATCGATTGCTACCCGCCGAAACGGCGGGTAGTGAAGATGTACCCAAAGAAACTGATTTAAATGAAGTTAATTAGATCACTTCAGAAAGGGAGGATCTGCAACATACTAATCAAGCTACTCAGAGACTGGCACTTTTCTAGTTTACCTTCTTGACTATGCTGTTTTAACTTTTACGATAGTGGCATTTAGGGATAGAATTGTGTGGGGAGTACTCTTCTAAGCTCTGCTCACAAAATAAGTTTCACCCATGTGAGTCACTAAAAAAAAAAAAAAAGTTAAATTAGATTCTGCAAGTGTTCAAAATAAAATTGGGCCTCCTGTCTAAACTCCACTGGGCTTCCTGAGCTTGGATCCCCCTCACTGGGGCCTGAATATGCCCATGTGCTCTGCTTGGCTCCTTAGGTTTAGTCCTTTTTTAGTTGGATAAAATAAATGGCAGTATCTTCCAAACACCACCTAGCTGTGTGTAACAGGGTGCTGGCTAGGAGAAACAAGCCAGGCCCCTGTTAGCCCTGTTCCAGAGGAAAAAGGGTTAGTTGGGCTGGCTGAGGGGCCACACCCTAATTACCAGAGAGGATCCACCTGCAGGCCTGGGTAGCCAGCCTGCCCTATAAAGCTGGCTAAGAGACAGGAAGTAGGGGGAGACAGGAAAGGGAGGAGTGTGGCCTCTAGATCCCTGCTGGCTGGGAAGCTAGTAGTCTTCAAGAGTGTTGGTCTCTGTAAATACTTGTAAATAGTAGGTGGTGGGAACGGACACAAACAATGAAAGGACACAGGTGCTGCACCTCTAGAGGCTGTGGCCTCTAGATCCCTGCTGGCTGGGAAGCTAGTAGTCTTCAAGAGTGTTGGTCTCTGTAAATACTTGTAAATAGTAGGTGGTGGGAATGGACACAAACAATGAAAGGACACAGGTGCACACCTCTGGGTGTTTTTGGGGCCTAGGCCGGCGAGGGCCAGGTTACACTGTGTCATAAAAATGAGATGTCACTTCCAGTAAATTGTGCAGATCTGCGATCTCCTTTCTCACATGAGGAATTAAATAGTTAATTCTGACATTTAAATGATCACTGGACCTCTGAATTAACTCCTGAATCAAATGCATGGGTCAATTCACAACCTTTCAGAGCTATTGTTCCAGGCTCTGCACACTTGCATAGAAATCTCTGCATCATTTAAACACTTGCATATTTGAGGTTTTCTTTGCAACCATAACAGCTAAAGATTTTCTTTAAAAAGCAATATATCAACTTGACACAGGTGTCAGTATACCAAACTATCATGTAACAGTACAGTACAAGCCCTACCAAACTGCCAGCCAGATTAATGCTTAGGAACTATATATATTTGTCTTAAGCAATAGAATATTATGTTTGTGTTTTTTCTCCTCCAAGCGGTGTCCTAACATAGAAATGCCTATAGATGAATCAATGAACAAATATCCTGCCATCCGCTGTCTTCTCATTAGTTAGTGTTCTACTAGTCTCCTTTTGTCTTTTAGTCTCTCCTTTTCTTACTTCTGAAGCATATAGCCAGAATTAGAGGCTGAGCACTAATAAAGGGAGTGTTCCTTGCTCTTGAGAACAAGAGAACTAGTTTTTGGCTCCTTACTCTGTACCTGTGTGCATCAGGCAGAGGAGAGAGTTGACAATTAGTGCTTAAGGGAGAGGAGTAAACCAGAAAATTTTGTTTGTGCAGCACTCCTCACCAAGGCAGGATTGGAAGAAAATATAGAACAAGAGTTGGAGCAGGGAGTAGGTTCAGAAGAGATTGTTTTTTTGTTTTTTTTTAAGTGGGGTTTATATGTGAGGAAGTGTAGAAAGCAAAGCAAGAGAAACAGAATTGAGCCACCTTCAGCACCCAACATATTTCCCTCAAGCCTCTGGCTGGAACTTGATAGTTCTGTATGTCTTCAGTTTATATTAAAGGGTTTATATTATGTCTGCAGTCACCAAAGTATTAAATAATACTATAGCAAGGAATTAATTTTATAATGTTCAAAAACAGATGATGTATTAGGATGAGCATGCTTTATAGGTCGTTCTGTATAATGTGTGTTACCTGAAAGTAGAAATAGAAAATCGAAGTAAAAAGATGAAGGACTGAAAAGTGTTTCTTAATATATAATTGCTCTTTGGATCCAATTGACATTTATCTTACTAATGTAGTTATTGTTTGCTTTTCTTTCAGTCGTCCTTTATCTTCTAAATGGTCCACAGCCAGCCCAGCAAGTATAGCTGGCAGAGGTATGCTCTCATTGCTATACAAATAGACTTGTTTCTTACAAATTGACCATCTAGAAAGTTATGTTCATATTTTAAATTAGACTTAGCCATAATTTAAGATTTTTTGTATTGTTCTGTGTTTATTCTGATACAGAATTGCATTATTATATGCGTTGATACCAGTTCCACCTATAGTTAAGACTGCTATCACTTTCCATTGTAAGACCCTGTTTTTTCTGTTATATATAACCTTGGCATACTTCAGCTGTTTGGGCTGAAATTTTCTGTGGTGGGTGCCTGCCTCAAATGGAATTTATTTTCCAGCTAAAATAGTTCAGCCGTTTCAGAGAACAAGATTAAGGAAAAATACAGGATTTTTTTCCTTAAAAAAAAAAAAAAAAAAAAAATCCTAAGTCTATATAATAGAGAAGCTCTAGTGCCTCTGTGCTTTGGAACAGGGACTTGAATTTTGGCAGGGGGATCAGCTTGATGCCAGGGATGTACCTTTTTGTCCCTGTGAAAATTCACCCAAATTTGGCCAAGGTCTCAGCTTTTGAAAAATCTCAGTTCTCCCTTGCTCAATAGAAATGTATTATAGTTTGGCAGGTAAATTCTCAGAAGTTTGTTCTGGGTATACTCTAGTGTGGGACTGTAGTGGCTGAGCAAGACTTTTCCTGCAGTTGCCCTTTCTGGTTGTTGTGGTTCGAGACACAGGAATGGAGAACGGGGAGAGTCAGTGATGAGGAGAAAGAGAAATGAGCCTGACTGGACTGCAGAGAGGGTTGCAGGGGCTGAGAAGTAGGGGGGAAAGCAGAGAGAGGCTAGGAGCTCCATGGGGGAAAGTGGTAAGCAGAGAGTGAGGAAAGGACAGGAGTCTGAGAGGGTGGATAAGAGCAGAAGGGTTTATAACCACTAAGAAACACTCTTCAGCACCTGTAATGGAACCCAGAATTTGAATCATAACACTGTTCTGCTGTCAGCAAACAGCTGTCAAACCCACTTGTAAAGTCTCTGCCTTGTCCTCCTCTAATAACAGCCTACTGCTACCATTAGCAGTTGTTCCATTAGCTCAAGTGGTAGAGATCTAAAGATCCTAACCTTCTAGATGATCCATTTGGGGATCAGTATGGTTCCACGTGAGATAATTTGCCTTTTTAAAGTGTTAGCTATTTATTACCAATGATCCTTTGCTAATCTTGGGGTTTCTTAGCAAAAATGGTAACACTCAGAGAAATGCAAAAATCAATCTCTCATCAGCTAATAGCCATTAGACTACTGATAGTCTGTTACTGGAAAAGAGAGACAGTCCAGAACTGAAGGAATTGTTCTCCCAAAATATGGGAGGTTATAGAAGAATGAACACATCAATTATGTGTGTACCCAGCAAAAATAGACCCTTAGATATGTGGCTACCATTTATTCAATGCTCAAAGTACATTTGCCTGCCAAAAAAAATGCACACCTGCCAATTGTTTTAATATTAACGTTTGATAGACACACCTGATTTGATAAATATGAGCAGTCAGTAGTTTCACTCAGTTTAATAAAGTTACCAGAAATAACACATCCTGGATAGTGTAAAGAGTAATAAGGTAGCATAAGGATTATATTGCTGCGTAATTTTTCTCTAAACAAAAAAAACCCCTCACTGTTGTAATTACCTGTTTGTTTCTGATATTTACATGACCATGATTTGTAAACCAGTTAAACTTCCTAAATAAATAAATAGATATTTAAAAAAAAAAAAACACAAAAAAACAACACTACTATCCTCTATCAGGTTGAAACTGTAAAGTTCAAAAGGTAGTTAAATGCAAGAATTGAAGTTACCTGTGCAACCTTAATTCACCATCTTGTGTGTATGCATTGATAAGAATCTCATACTATTCTTTTATACAGGACCGCTGCATCATTCAGTGAGCAAGATGGACCTGATCAGGGAATAAGTCAGGGTTGTGTAGTGAATGAGACTGTTGTCTCTAGGACTTTTGCTTAATGTATTGCAGAAATTGGAAGGGTGTTTTGAGTGAGGCAGGAGACTACAGGAAGAGAAAGGATGGTCTCATAGGCAAGGTAGTTGAATTGTGCCCTGGAAAACCAAATTCTATCCCTGTTTTTGTCACAGAGATCCTATTTGATGCTGTCTAAATCACTTAAACCACACCTTTTTTTACAGGTGGCCATTAACTGTGTTTCTCATTTTCTGGATGCCAAACTTGAGACCCACCGGTCTGATTTGCAGAAATGCTGAGCACTCACAGCCATAAGTGAAGAGAACTAGAGCTGTGCTGTGAACATATAAAGTGCTAGGAAAATGCTAAGTACTCTTACAAATCTGGTTCTGGTTGCATCAAGTTGGGCATTTTAAATAAGTGGACAAATTTGTCCTAATCTCTTTGCCTCAGTTCTTCAGTTGTAAACTGGAGATGATAATACCATCTAATCTCACAGATAATGTGAAGATAAATTAATGTTTATGAAGCACTTGGATACTATGATGAATGGACCACAGAACTGCTTATGTGGCAATTATGGGGAGGGATAGCTCAGTGGTTTGAGCATTGGCCTGCTAAACCCAGGGTTGTGAGTTCAATCCTTGAGGGGGCCACTTAGGCATCCGGAGCAAAAATCAGTACTTGGTCCTGCTAGTGAAGGCAGGGGGCTGGACTCGATGACCTTTCGAGGTCCCTTCCAGTTCTAGGAGATAGGTATATCTCAATATATTATTATTATTATTATTAAACGATTTTGTACTTCGTGCATGGGGTAGGAAGATGGAATGGTGTGTATTAAATAAGGCGTGGGACAATGTATTGAATAAGGAAGATAAAATAAACAAATGATCCCCCTTCCCTGAGCACTATCTATTCTATGCACTGAATGAGGCAGGGGTCCTACTGGAAAAAATAGTATGTTATTCTGTAATTAAAGATTATATCGTAATACATGCACACAGAGGGGTCGACCAATATGTTATTCTGTAATTAAAGATTATATCGTAATACATGCACACAGAGAATTAAGGTTGCACCGGCAATCACAATTCTGTCATGTTAGTATCTTTTGGGGGCTTGATTTTTGCAACCTTAGCCTTCTGTTAATATAGTTACTTTATATTTTACATTATATAGGATTGTATTGAATATATTGAATCAAGTTAACCTTATGGTTTATAAGACCATATACTGAATAGAGATGGAAAATCTTAGCCAAACTTTTGATAATAAGTGGGCTTAATTTAGATTTGATTTTACCATCTTTCTCTTTTTAGTTTCAGGAAGTAGCAGCAAGACTGCTCCAAGTCCAGGAACACTGCAGAGGTCCCGCAGTGACATTGATGTTAATGCTGCTGCAGGTGCAAAGGCACGCCATGCTGCTGGACAGCCAACAGGAGCTGGGCGCTTGTCTGCTGCTGGTCTACCTCCTGGATCCTATGCTTCACTAGGTGAGAGATCCTGGTTTACTGTAAACTGTTCCTTGGAGTTCATAGAAAGCAAATAGTAATGAAAAAATACTTCCTTTATTGGAAAGTACTGTGTATGGATATTTGGTGCACTCATAATAGTAGTACCTAGGCACCAAGTGCTTGAATTAAGGGGCATCAGTATTGTCTGACTAGGAGTTACTGTCTTGGCTCCCCTTTTTGATTAAACTGTCTTTCTATGGAGGATTTTAAGAGAGAGCTAATTTTGAGGCATGGAGGTGTTCTGGATCCTTTAGAGCTTCCTTTATTGAGGAAGAAGGCCAGTGCAAAGGGTGTCTTCATTATGCTCTTAAAATACATGAGACACACTCATTTGATCTCCGGCGGCAGATAAACAGAAGGGAGCAGTCATGGTTTCTGCCAATTTTAGAGGCAATATACCAGTCACCATTAGAAATCTCAAATTCCCATTTTATTAAAAAAAAAAAAAATCTAAAATACTTTTGTAGCTAAGGCATGGTGAAATGTTTCAAGCTATATAAAATGGTTGCAGTATTCCATATTTGTCACTGTTTTGTACAACTGTGTACATTGTTGGTTTGGAAGCGTTCTTCATAGGTTTTCCAGCACTGCTGTGTATATTTTCACCTAAGTTGCATTTTTGTTGATGAGTAACATTACTTCTGTTAGACATAGGAAGTGCTACCATGATATCTGTCTGAGGAGAGGTCTCTTACTGGTAGCACTTCTGGTGTTAGATGCTGGAACTGTTGCAAACTCCAAACATGAACTCCAAGTCATAATCTGTCCATGGTCTGCTTCTGGATGCAACAACAACACGCTGTTCTTCAGGGCTCAAGGCAAGGCTGAGATTTAGCCTTAACTCTACAACCATTGTGGTAGGGAAGAGCAAAGGAAAGAGGCATGGTAGAGATAGTAGAAAGAAAGAGAAATGGTCAAATTAAAATACCGTTGGAGGAAGAGATAGAGAATAACAAAGTTATCCTACCTATGATAAAGTGAAAGGATTACTTTGGTCTTTTGCTAAGTTAAACAGAAAAAAAACAAATTTTTGGTTAGAACAGTGTTGTGCTTTCAGAACATATAAAGGACCACATATTTCATTCCCAGCACCTCCTAGATAGGAGTTTAAAAGAACACCCAGATTTTCAAGAGGGTAAATGCTGGCAGTTGTATGCAGGGGAATGACTTGGAGGAGGATTTACTCATGCTGTTAGTTTCATACCTAATTTTTATGGGATGCATTCGGGACCCATTCCAACATATTCTTTAAATCTTGCTTTGATTAGCTGGAAAGTATTGTCTCGCTGGCAACTGTCGTTTGGACTCTTTTTTTTTTTTTTTTTTTTTTTTTTCCTTTTTGACATACCTGGGGCACAATCCAGACTAATCAGTAGCTGCCCTCTAACGTGGGGTGCCCTTTACAATGGTTTGCTGCTGTAGCCTCCAGCTCAGAGACTGCTCACAATCAGTCTCCAGCATGCAAGTCACTCCCAGCTCTCTGTGTACTGCAGCCAGTCAGCCACACCTTGTCTCTTACCAGCCTAGGTTATACTGCAGGGTGACCCCAACACACTCCGAGTCTTAGATTTCCCCCTAGAAATGTATGTCCTGTACTGCCCAGTCCTCTCCTGGACAATCCAAATTTATATAAAATCCATTATTCCACCCCAAATGGAATTTCCCAGACACTTCATTTTAAACACATTGGATTAGATTAAAAAAAAAACCCACAAATTTATTAACTACAAAGAGAGAGATTTTAAGTGAGTACAAGTAATGAAGCATAAAAGTCAGAAATGTTTACAAGAAAAATAAGATAAAATGCAACTGGTGCCTAACTTAACAAACTATGTTAAATTCAAAGGAAAGTTTTCTCACCACATGCCTTCAGCAGTCTCACTGACCAAACTTCTTAGTCAGCACCCCTTCTCCCAGAGTCCAGCAAATGCTTCTTTTGTCACTTCTGGTGCCGTGAATGTGATGGGCAGGGAGAAAAAGAGGGGTGCGTTGGGGTGTTTGTCCCTCCTTTTTGTAGTTGCTGTTCCCCTTTTGAAAAACATTTCCCGCTGGGTACCAGGAGGCAAAAGGCTATGGGGAAGGGTTTCAGTTTCCTTTGTTTCACTTCCTGCTTGATGGCTCTGTTTACTGCTTAAATGAAAATTAAGTAAAGCACACGTTCCTTTGTTTGAGACAGACCTGTTTACCAACCTCAGTTTGGAACGTGTTAATAACACCACACGGTGGAATCTTATAACTTCCCATGCAGTGTTGCCACAAACATTTTATCTGGACAATAATGACCAGCGAATTGAGTTTTCAAATGATACTTCACAAGGCATACATTGTACAAAGATTATTACAATAGTGTGTAGGGTGTGGACACGGGTACATTCTGTCACACCACCTTAGATTAAAATGGAAAAGATGAACATTGAGATGTATGTTTGATGGAAGAATTCCGATAATACTGTTTGTGAGATTGGTCTGGGGGGTTAAAGGTAAAACAGAATGAGTGTACATTAGTCCAAATGGAATAGCTATTATTTTGTACTATTCTCTTTCTCTGAATGATTAGTGTAGTGTTGTCTAATAATGCAAATTAGAAAGAGTTCTTATAATCAAAAAATAATTGTAAAAAGATTGTTTTGGCCCTTTCTTTGTGTTCTGGTAGTGCCAAACAATAGATTCAATTAATAAGAAAACTTACACAAGAAATATAATTTAAAATTCTACATATTTTTATTTTTGTCTGTGGTATCACATTCTTATTTATGGTCTGTCTGAATCTGCGTAGTATCATAATAGCACTAATAGGCTGAGGTATTTGAGTTTATTATGGTATCCTTGTACTTTTAAAAAATATAGTGTTTATAAACTGAAAATGTAGCAGTATTAGAATTGTGATGGAAAGAAGGGATATGGGGAGAGTAAGAAAAATGTACCACATACTGCAAAATATTTTTTCTTTACTGTTCTCAGCATATAATTACAGTTATACATATTTTTATTTTCCTTCTGTCACATGTGGGTTCCTTGTAAATACTGTAAGACCTGTGTTCAAAATAGCTGGCAACTTCTCATAGAGACAGTATTAAATGCATAACTGCCAACTATACCGATGTGAAGGACAGGTAGAAAGAATAGTGAGAGTCCAGTATGGCTCCATCAGGAGCTCTTTAATGACCTGAAAACTAAAAGGAATCCTTCAGTAAATGGATTTGTCAATGTAATTTCCTTGTTTGACAGAGTTACTGGTATAGCAGATAGGCAGGAAGCAGTAGACAAGATCTTGATTTTAGTAAGGCTTTTGATACAGTCCCACATAATGTTCTCATAAGCAAATTAGGGAAATGTGTCTAGATGGAGGTGGGTGCACAGGTTGGTTGATAAACCATTTTCTCAGTGGTTCTCAGTCAAATTGGAGAGGGCGTATCTAGTGGTGTCCCACAGGGATAGTCCTGGGTCTGGTCCTATTCAATATTTTCATTAATGACCGCGATAATGTAGTGGAGTGTGTGCTTATAAAATTTGCAGGTGACACGAGGCTGGGAGGGGTTGCAAGCACTTTGAAGGAAGGATTAGAATTCAAAATAACCTTGATAAATTAGAGAACTGGCCTAAAATCAACAAGATGAAATTCAGTAAAGACAAGTGCAGAGTACTACACTTAAGAGCTCTGGGACCCTCCCACACCACAGGGTCCAGCCCAAGCCCGACCGTCCACACAGCAATTAAATAGCTCTGCATCCTGAGCTCCATGAGCCTGAGTCAGCTAGCAAGGTCCAGCCCTGAGTGTTTAGTTGCTGTGTAGATGTACTGTATAAGGAAGTTAAACCCTGGAATTAGGTTTCCAAGGGTAGTTGTGGAAGCCCTGCCTTTGTAGGTTTTTAAGAACAGGTTGGTCAGGGATGGTCTAGGTTTACTTAGGCCTTCCTCAGTGCAGAGGATGGATTTGATAACCTCTTGAAGTCCCCTTTTCTGTGCTTCTGTAAAATATTAAGATAATACTGTCTACTTTTTATGTTTTAATTTTATTTCATCCTGCTTTTTTTTACAATCACCTCTTAAAATAAAATGTTTTTCAAGAAATTACCATTTCTGGGTCTGTGCTTGCAGCATGACTGATAAGAATTTCTCAAGATTCAGAATTCTAAAACTTATATAAACTACTGCAGCAGTGGGTGGTATGTGCCTGCCCCTGCTAAAGATGTGTGGTCTGGGACCCATATATTTGTTGGCTGTGGATTCACCATAGAATCTACCTTTCAGACTCTCAGCTCTTAAAAATAAATAATCTAGTACTCTTAGTTAAGAAGATACCCTTGAAAATATGAACTGAGTGTAAACTGAAGCAACATAGCATGCCAGAATGTGCTGGCAGCATGAAACAGTACTGAGTAAATGGTCCCTTTTGTCCCTTTCATCCCAATGGGGTTGTTGAAACCTAAAATGACTGTTTAAATGGGCAAAATTGTTAATTATTTCATTGCTGAGCATCTTACCAGAAATGTCCTACAAATGTGCTTATCCTGCTTCCAGTTTGGTTTCCATATCTTTCCATGTGGAGAGTTTAATATCAAAATAAATACCAAGGCCACTGTACTGATAGTGTTATTCGTGTTCATATTTAATTATTTAATTATAAACCTTTTTAAAAATTTAAAATAGCTGTAGAAATCAGGACCAACTTATCGGAGCACACAGGTCTCTACTTACCTCTACCTGTCATTGCTTGTTTGTTATTGATGAAAAAGGATCTCCCCTGTGCTGTTACTGCATTAGAACTTATATTTGTTTTTGTAGCTATTGAATCAGGAAGACATTCTCTGCCAGACTTTAGTCGTTTTGAGGCCTGAAATTACTTACTAGCATCCTTATAAGCAACATTCAGCGGATTATACATATCTCGCTAGTACTGGGGTTCTCACAACAAATTTTTTGGTAGCCTCAGAGTGCAGCCACCAACTCTGGTTGGTGGCCGCTCTGACAATTTTTTTCCTAAAATACTTAATTACCTTTAGGAAAAACAAATAAATATGCATATTTACGTGTCCAAATCATTGTAATTGATTGATGTAGGGTTTTTTGTAGACTCAATAGTAAAAATAATGTACAGTTATATTTTGGTGCCCCTGGCCCCCACTGCTTCTCCCCATTGCCTCGAGGTCCCTTCCATGGTCTCAGACCCCAGGCTCATCCCACTTCTTGCCTCTGGACCACAGCGCCTGGTAAAAGCCCAGAGCTAGAGCCCCATGGCTGGAGTCGGGGGTGGGCTGAAGCCCCGAGCCCACAGGCAAAGCCCTGCTACTGTGGTGAGACTGAAACCCAAAGCCCTGAAGTTGGGGGGAAGGGGGCGCTGAAGCCCACCTTAGGAGGCCTGCAGCACTTGCTGCCAGAGTCCTGCGGCTGCCACTGGGTGAGGGGGGACTATAGCATGTCGCCCCAAGCCTCTGGCTGAACTGTGGAGGGGGGGCGGGGGCTGAAGCCCGCCCTTGAGCTCTGTAGGGAGGGGCCACTGCTTTGTCCCTCCCCCACTTCTGCACAAGAGGCTGTTGTGGCTGCAGGAAAAACCCCTGGTGGCCGCATGTGGCCACGGCGGCCGCATTTGAGAAACTGCACTAGTAAGTATTGTAGTGGTACTCAGCCTTTATTTTGCTTATATTATACTCAAAATCTGTGTACTCCTTTTCTTGCAATACACACTCCATACACACTCCATGCCAAATGAATAGAAAAATCTTGAATTGCTTTTAAGCTATACATACTAGTCGCCCTTCCTTTTTTTCTGCCTTTATTGTGCTGTCCTGTTTGTTTTTCTTAAATTTCTACTGCCTCCCCCTCTGAGGTTTCAAGTTAAGTGGTAGAATTTCAGAAGTGGGGTCATAGTGGTTCAGTAACACTATAAATGTATGTAAATTTAAATTCTTATTGACTATTGAGCACCAAGCAATTGATGTATCCTGAAAAAGTTCATAACCTTTGCTTCCAGGGTTTGCTCAAATCTAGATAATGCAAATAGGTTCCACATCTCTCTCTCTTTTTGGGGGTGGGTGGGTGGGGGTGGGGTCTTGTACCTTATCTTATATTTTTGCATATATTAGGTTGGGAACCACTAACTTTTCTAAAGTTTACACAAATGAATTAGATCTACAAATGTCTTCAGTGTTTACTATTAATATAGTTTCTTTAATGAATGTTTTATGACTCTGTTATGAATGTCTTTATTCTAACACACTAAGTTTTCCCTGTTTCTTTGCTTGCTCTTTCAACAAAGAGGATACTTCTGACAAGATGGATGGTAAGAACTTGTTTTGTCTGCCCTCTTCTAATCCTATTAAAACATCTTTTGAAATTACATTTCATGTAAAGTACTTGATGTTTGTACTACACACCTTTATTGATCAATATGTAAAATGTCTTCATTAACCCCTCAGTACACTAATTTTAGACTTAAAGTGGTTGTCTTTCAAATTACTGTATTTGTCAATATATCTTGACGTTATGGATGTCAGGTATCCAGCTTTAAAAGAAACTTTGTTTATCTTTAATCGGATGTTTTATGAATAGAAGCTTTTGTCCTTCTTTATTTAGACGCCGACTTTACCAGCTAGGGTACCATCAACTTGAAAACTTAATCTTGAAAGTTTTGTATATGCTACTGTGAAAAGTTTTTGTATTTGGTGGTACCTTGTGTTTCAGAGGTTCAGGGGTTTCATAATTTCTCCTGTATTGTCAGTCAGTTTCTTTTTTTTGCGGAGAAGACCTTTATAAACATCAATAAGGGAACAGAAAATTATTGTAAAATATTTTAGATCTTTTAAAAATCAAATGCATTATGTAAAGAGTGCTCTTGTAAGAACCTAGATTTTAAAATAGTCAAATTAGGAGACGTTTAACAAGACACTGTCAACTTTAATCAATTTAATTATTTTTAAAGATAATTATTGCTGAGTAGGCCTTCATTCATGGATTACATAGCCTCCAGCATGTTTAACAGAATGTTTTAAAGATTTATAGACTTTCCCTCAAATAGCATTTTAGTATTTATTTGTTCTAGCTGTATATTAAACAATCTTTAGCTAGTTGTCAGCTATATCTCCTGTCATAATTGAAAAGGCCTTCTGAGAAGCAGCATTCCTCTAGCAATTGTTACTATGCTACAGCTAGATGCTTCCAATAAGTAGCTATAACTAGTGCTTCATCTGCTTCCTGCCTTGCCATAATAGCTGAGTTTGATATTTGCCCAAGAATATTAACATTGGCCATTTTGGCTTGAAAGATGCTGAAATCTATATAAACTTTTGTCACATGTATTGTAACTATATCCTAGTGTTTAGAAAAATGTAGAACAATAGCTACTGTCAACAAAGCAGGCACCATTTCCTACCATCATCCCTATCTTTTCATCCATTGAGTCAGATGAGCAAATAATCATATTAAATACACACTCATTCTGAACCACATCGTAAAGGCCATCAGAGTTGTGCAGACCTCAGTAGGGTTTGAATTCCAGAACCAAGGTCTCCATTGAAAATGCAGTTAGGTGGCACACAGGAGAAGAGATTTTTAAAATACCAGAATCCCAAACCTTTTGAAGAATTATGGATAACCAGCGTGGTGCATTGCACTTTGCAGCTAATTGTAAGCCGGTAAAGATCATGGAGTACAAGTGATGTTTTTCAAGTGGCTTTGCATATTCCCATTTATGGGTGTTGCACCCATTTGTGTTGCCTTGCGGTAGAATCCGCTTGCAGGAGTATCAGCTAGAGCAGGGGTGACCAACCTGAGCCGGAGAAGGAGCCAGAATTTACCAATGTACATTGCCAAAGAGCCAAAGTAATACGCCAGCAGCCCCCCATCAGCTCACCCCCTTGCTCCCAGTGCCTCCTGCCCACCGGCAGCTCCACCAATCAGCGCCTCCCCGTCCCTCGTTGCACCTCCTGATCAGCTGTTTTGTGGTGTGCAGGGGACTCTGGGGGGGGAGGGGAGGAGTGAGGGAATAGTAGGCTCAGGGGAGGGGGCAGGAAGGGGTGGAGTGTGTGCAGAGCCAGGGTTTGAGCAATGAGCATCCCCTGGCACATTGGAAAGTTGGCGCCTGTAGCTCCAGCCCCGGAGTCGGTGCCTATACAAGGAGCCGCATATTAACTTCTGAAGAGCTGCATGTGGCTCCGGAGCCACAGGTTGGTCACTCCTGAGCTAGAGTGCTCTTTCACCTCTCCAGTTGGCATCCTAATGCACTAAGGTGGAGGCTATAAAAGGGTTGGAGTGCCCTTCTCACCTCTGTTCCTTCCAATCACATGCCAGGACTGATGTGAACCCTCCAGTTCCTTGAAGCCAAGAGTTTTCTCTTCAAAGATAGTTAGTGTTAGCTTTCAGTTAGCTACTAGCAGTTAGGGTACTTCCCTAGTTCTGAGGAATGGTGGAATCGAGGAAGCCAAAGGAACCTGATTTAAGAGATGCGCTTCCTGTCCAGCCATTTTCCTGGTATCAGATGATATGTCCCTGAAGTGTCTATGTGAAGGCCACTCACCATCTGGGTGTTTGATTTGCCAGACCCTCATCCCCAGAGCCCTCCAGGATGGGGAGATTCGTCTTCAACTACTGCTTTAAGGAGGCCCTTAAGGTTAGACCTTCTTAAGATTAGACTTTGCTTCCAGGGACTACCAACCTCTGCGCTGGTGGTCTCTGGTGGCTCCAGCAGACTGCAGGGTTCCAAAAAGCCACATCTGATGGGGCTGGACTTGGTTCCTGTGCCTCTCCTCTTCAAACCTCCAAGGACATAAGTGTCTAAATCAAGGCCTGTGTGATCACATCCCTCCACCTCACTTATAGAGAAAATGTCAAGGACCAGTCTGGCCACTCTCACCAGTGCAGTAGCTCATGCCTTACAATAGTCTAACTCTGACTGGGCCCCCACAGCTGCAGAATTGGCTCCAACTATATCTTCCAGATTCTGGAAGATGGACATGAGTGGTACCTGTGAACAAGGACCATCAGCCTGAGATGCTGTGGCACTGAGGAAAAAGCAGCATAGGAGCAAGACTGCCAATGTTAGCAGTGCCAGTTCCCATGCATCAGAGTTCTCAGTTATGCTTATTTCAGATAACACTGCTATGGTTCCTAAGTGGAGATCAGCCCCATCCCCAGTCACTGCAGTGAGGGAGATTAGCCCATGTGGACCATTGGATTCGGTGTCATAGCAGACCTTGCTCCTGTCTTGACCCCAAGTACTTCCTTAGTTCCGAAGAGTTCCGCCACGGTGATGGCCCTAGTCCACCCTATACCTCTGGAGCATGTCTCGGATCTGGCTTTGAAGTGCATGGCACACAAGAGGGGAGGCATGTGCCTTCAGTTACTGGATCCTCACCTTCATCTCCAGTTATGAATTTGCGAGATTAGGCAGGGTAGCTCCAGCAGCGTGCAAACCACCTCAAGTAAGTGCAGGTGCCATTGCTGCATAGTTGATTGCCAGCACCCGTGTGCCAATGGATAAAAACATAAGGCAGCAAGTCCACAAACAACTTTACTGCTCAGTAAAGTAGTGCCAGTTGTATTCACCCCTTTCTGCCCATTAACAGTAGATGAAACGGACAAGGGTCTCCAACACTAAGCCCTGGAAAGCAGTAGGAATGGACAGAATATATCCAGAATTCCTGAAGAAACTGGGCCGGGTACTGGTCTTAACCAGCTACATAGAATCTGTGAAATCTATCAGTTAAAATTAAAAACAGCGGCAGCATCAATTGACCTTTCTTCTGCATATGATACTGTATGGCTCAAAGGTCTCTGGCTGAAGTTGGCATGGGAAAGCTAATGATAAGCAACAATACTCTCATCATCAAGATGCCGAGTAATAGAAGATTCACTGTACATGTTGGTGAATCTGCTAGCAAATCACAGAGATTGAACAATGGCCTCCCACAAGGATCTGTTTTAGCACCTGCACTGTTCAGTCTCTATACCAGCGACATTCTGGTCACATAATCCCATAAATTCATCTATGCAGATGATATTGCACATTGCTCATGATGCCCCAGAACATTATAACCTCACTAGACTGGTTGCCAGACAGGACCAACGAGCTCAAAGGTGTGCAGTTCAATCCCTCAGATCCATCCCAGACAGTGATTTCATATGCATCATCCAAAGGTTGAGGGGACATTTGAACCACTTAATGGTTTAAGGTCGTTTGTCTTCTCAAGGAAAGAACATTGCACATCAACGTACTGGAACTAAGAGCTGTTCACCTGACCCTAAGATTGTTCCTCCCTCACTTTCAAGGGAAGGTCATGCAAGTAGTAGTGGACAAAATGTCAGCAGTGCATTATATCGTCAAACAGGTGGGTGCTCACTCCACCCCTTTTGCATTGGTGATAAAGCTATGGAATTGGTGCATCTGCCATGAGGTTTATGTAGCAGTACATTTGGCCGGGGAAGACACTGTACAGTCAGGCCTCGATTTACACTGTGGTTATATTCTTAAAAAAATACTTTGCAAATAGAAATCGTGTAAAAAAGATACTAAGGGTCTATGGGGTTAGGTTTCAGGCTCATAAGATGACCTCCCTAATGTATACAATACAGTATAGTACTACAGGTTTTAGTAAAAACATTTAATGAAATTCAAACTTACTACAGTACAGGTACTAACCTTTATTCATGGTGAGGATGAACTTGATACAGTATCAGCATTATCATCATGTTGTTGAAGTCAGAACTCTGCGGGTTCATCTGGGGAGGCTGGGGAGTGTGGAGCAGTGGGATGGGCCCTGACTTCAGGTGGGGGGACAATGACGGGATGGGGGAGGGGAAGCAAAAAGGATCGGGGACGCCTCCACTCACCCCCTCCAGCCGGCTGTGCGGGGGGCCATGGACACTCTGGGAAGAGGCCACCCAGGCATGCACCTGGGGCAGGGGGTTGGAGCGCAGGGGCTTGCACCGCTCTGCCCAACTGCCTGGCGCTCCTGTGAGAGAGTGGGGTCGTGGGCTCACCCCACTCCTCCTGCCCGCACGGTGCTCCAGCTGGGGAGCGGGGTCCAGGGCTTGCCCTGCTCCTCCCAGCGCTGCAGATGGGGTGCGGGGTTGGGAGCTTGTCCTGCTCCGCCTCTTCCCCCCCACCCCCAGTGTTCCTGCTGGGGAGCAGGGTTAGGGCACGGAGGCTTGCCCGCTCCCCGGCTGGAAGGCCAGGCGGGTAGAGCGGGGTAAGGCCCCCGACCCTGGTCCCCAGCTGGAGCGCTGGGCGGGCAGAGCGGGGCAAACTCCCAACCCCGCTCCCCAGCAGGAGTGCCAGGCGGGCGGAGTGTGCAAGCCCCTGCAGGGGGGCCCCTGCACCTCGACCCCGCCCCTGGAGCCCCTGGCCAGCATTTCTGTGGCCCCCCTTGAGGCTAGCTAGAGAGAGTGAGGGGAGGCGCCCCATTCCTCCTGCCTTTCCTCCCCCACTCCCATCATTGCCCACCCACTCCAAGTGTAGGGTCCTGACTACACCCCTGATTTGTGCATCTTGGCGACAGCGCTTCACCATGTAAAAGTGAATCCCTACCGTGTACAATTACTTGACCGTGCATAACTGAAACCGTGCAAAGAAAATACCATGTAAATCAAGGCCTGACTGTAGTTGCATATTGCCTCAGCAGGAATGCCTCCCTGACGGACCAGTTAGTTCAGACCCTTTTTTCCAGATGGCATCAACCAGTTGTGGACTTGTTCGCGACAAGATTCAGCAGAAAAAGTGTCATCTTTTCTGTTCCAGAGCAAGTAGGGATAGTCTGTCTTTCTTGGGCGCTTTTCTTCTGCACTGAGGGAGGCCTTTTGTATGCCATCCCTCCTTTTCCCTTGATACAAAATGTGGCAAGGAAGATAAATCTGAACAGAGCAAGGAATAATACTCATTGCCCTGGCTTGGCCACATCTGCAGTGGTTCACAGACTTTCAGCTGTCTGGCGAAGTCTGTCTCCAGATCTTCTGTGCAAGAAGGGGAGCAGGATTTTTCACCCAGACCTGCAGACCCTTCATCTGATGGCATGAGTGATCGGACTTCGACTCTGTCTGCACCTGAGCAGTCGTGTTCTTCGTCTGTGCAGGATATACTGGTTAAATCCAGGAAACAGTCCACTAGAATCTGACTGTCCAAAATGGCCTATGTTTCAGGCATGGATGCAGAAGAAGCTTGATCCTATCTAATTCATTGATAAAGATTTTCTTTGGTTTCCATCTCCACATATCATATTCGAGTTGATGATAGATTGCTGTTTGTTCATGCTTCAGGAAAGGTTTGTCAAATGCATATCCTTCTGCTAAAAATCGCGTCCCTTCTTGGGACCTTGGTTTGGTCTTCACCACTTTGATGAAATACCTGTTTGAGCCCATAGCTAAAGTGCTCGTTGCATCATTTATTCCTGAAAACTGCTTTAATTATTGCCATTACATCAGCCAGTAGAGTGAGTGAATTGAATGCACTCATGGCTGATCCACCTTTTACTTAGTATCAGAAGGAAAAGGTAGTCTTTAGACGTGATCCTTAGTTTTTACATAAGGTGGTAGCTGATTTCCACATTTAAAATTTCTAGACTGTTCTTCTCATATGCCAAGAATAATATGAGGCATTACGGGTTCTTCCCAGACTATTTCACAGTGGATCAAGCTTCTGTATCTTTGAGTTATATGCTAGTGAGAGTTCCTGTGCCTGCTTCAATCAGATCTATTCTACTAGAGCTGTGGCTACTTCCTTTGCTTTTCAGAGGCTGGTGCCAGTTGCTGAGCTCTTCAGAGCTGCAACCCAGATATTTGTACACACCTTCACCAAGCATTGTCCTGTGAATTTAGTTTCTAGAGCGCATGCTGGGTTTGGCAAGGCGATACTTCAGTCTTTATTCAACTAGGACTCTGTTCCCATCTCCAGGTTGGTATCAGCACTGCTTATCAATCTATCCTATAAGTTGGAATATGCGGAGCCACTCAACGAAGAAATGAAGGTTACTTACCTGTCACTGGAGTTCTTTGAGATGGCTCTGCATATTCACAGTTCCCACCCTCTTTCAGAGTTCTTGTAATTATGTTGTCTGGCTGTATGGTAGAAGGAACTAAGGAGCAAAGGGTGCTCTGTCCCATTTATAGCCTTGCCCTCAGTGCTTTGGGTCGCCAAGTGGAGGGGGAATGCGAGAGCACTCTAGCTGATATAGCAAAAAAAGGCTGCTGCCACAAGGTGTTAATTGGAAATATGCAGATCCCTCTTGAACTCCAGTTACAGGTAAGTAACTGTCACTTTTTGCTTATAGCAGTCCAAATTCCATAAGGTATTGGTCTGCCCTATTGAACAGCATTGTACGGTTCTGTATTCTTTTCTCTGATTTCCAAATAAAAATTTGATTAGGTTGCATATCACTTTTATAATTAGCAGCATCCCAAATTCACCTTGAACTCTTGCGGTCAAGCTGTTTTTGTTTTGTTTTGTTTTGTTTTGCTTTTTTTTTCCATTTTGTGTATCATCACAAGTAATATGGGCTCTGCAGGCCAAGTTCTGCTCTCAGGTAGACATGTGCAATCCTGTGGTCTTCAGTGGATTTTCAAAGGTGTCTGGAAGAGAATGGGACTATGCAGATATAGCTGACGACATAATTTGCTCTTCAGGACTTCTGTTACTTGTGGTGATGTGCAAGATAGAATAAACGCAACTTGATAAGAGTCCAGGATGAATTTGCAGCACTGGCAGTTTAAAAAAATATATTTTATATGCAAGCTGGGCAAACTTGATTTGGAAAACTGAGACACACTCTCACAACGCGATTTTAAAAAAGTCATTATTAGGATAGGGTGGCACTTTAAAAGACAGGAGTGTTGCAGACTGCACTAGCTGGAGGTTCTGAGGCTTCAGTGGTGATCCTGCTGTAAATGTAGCTCAGTCTAGAAGAGGCAAAAGTGTGCATAGTCCTAGCAAGGTTTACAGGAGGTTAACCTCCCACAACCTCTAGATGAGGTAAAGATGCTGAATGGCTTTTTTGATTAGTACGGTCAGCTCAGAATTCAGAAACAACATTGGATTAGAAAAAAATTACCAACCAGTAGTGGGAATATTTTACAGATCCTGTCACTTCCTGAATATATTCACCCATTCTTTGGTTTTCAGGGCACTGGTGTGTGTTTTACCTCAGATTTTGTCATAACTGTCATGTATGTGTATACTTTGCCTCATTAAACTATCATACACACTCCAACTGTGACCCATTTTCAGTAACTTTGTTTTTCTCTCAGCTCACTCTTCCAAGCAGGACTTTCCTTAAAAAATGTACACCCTTTTACACCATCAGTTTGAACTTTGTTTGAATGAATCCTCCTTTCTAACATCTTCTATCAGCTTCTCTCTGCCCAATGTTTAATGCACTGGGTCTATATTGTTTACTTCAACCTGGAGCTTGTATTGGAATTCTATATGCAAATGTGCACAATGTGCATCTGTCACCTAATTTCCTTAGCAGTTGGTTGTGGTAGTAAGCTTGGTAGCAAAGTCTGTTCTTGACATGCTACTTAACTGTCTTAAACTCATATGTATGATTAAAACTTCAATTTTTCTTTGATATTCCATGGTTTTTCAAAGAAAGTTTGTGGTCCAGCAGTGCATTATGTATTTCTACAATCAGCTCACAATGTAGCCTTTGGCTTTCCACTGTAGTTTAATGATGGAGTTGCAATGCAAGAGAGCAGAAGTTAAGATCCATTCTTACATAATAAACATATTTTGTCAAGGTACTCTAATTTCATGTAAGTAGTCTCTCATTAAAAGGAATTGAATCAAAGAATAGTGCTGTTTGGAATATCATTGTTTTATTATTTTTTTCTGTTTAGGAACAGCTTCTGAAGATGGTAAGAAAAATTAATCTTTTGTTAGAATAGCAAATACTTCATCTTCATGTTTTCATTTATACAAACTAAGTTCTAGAAGTAGAATTAGCTCATTTTGGTGGTTGGGCGGGTCATTCCTTTTGGCTTACGCATCTAATATTTGGTTATTGAAGTTGTATTTTTGTTAATTCTTTTGCATTATGATTTTGGTTCTCAGGCGATCATTTGCAATAAAAATGTCATTGCTTAACATTTTACTATAAAATTACAGGAGTATTATGTTTGTATCTTTTAAATTACAAACTAATTAGGAAAAACTCATCTGTTGATCAGATGTGCTCACACACTCAGGAAGCAGGTGCTATTATTAATTATCTATTTGAAACGTGGAAGAACACTTTAGAATGGATTGTTAAAACCCTTCTAAGCTAGCACCAGAGAATCAATCACTATGCTTGCCTCATAACATTCAAACAGATTTTGTTTTTTACTTTAATGGAAATTAAATCAGGCCTTTATTGATAATTCAGCATCAACCAAATTGGTGGTGCACTATATTCCTAAACTCTCTGGGCCAGATTCTGTACACAGTTACGTGCCCTGAAACCTCATTACAATTAGTGGGGAAAATAGTGGGGTGACTGAGGGTAGAGTTTGTCCTAATCAATTTAACCAGTAATGGTAATACATTGCTTTCTAGTAGCTAAGTGAATAACCTCCTTTATCCTGGCTCTCTTCCCATAGACTTTCTTCTGTGGACTGTTCCTTCTACTTGGATGAATAATATTAACTTGGCTGGTCTTGAAATCCTGCTGTGGAAAGCCTAAAGGGGCTGGAAACTAGATATAATGAGCCTGTGTGCCTAATTCTTCTGGGTCAAGGATTGACCCTATATGTCTGCAAAACTTTTTTATTGTTAAAGTTAACGCAGTCTTAAATTGAATTAATTGTTGCGCTAGAGTGTCACTTCTCAAGCAGTTTCCTCTTGCAACCTTCCAAAATTGTGTCCAACTCGCTGGTCTAAGTATTGTTTTTGTGTGGGGCTCTCATATTGGTTTAGGACCTGTATACAGAATTCTGCCTATTCACTTTTAAGAGTAATCTGCCTATTAACTGTCATTCATACTGCTGGAACCTTCCCTTCTTTGGTAATTTCATTGTATTGTCTAAACATTGAGGAGTAGAGATGTTGTCACACAAAAGATGATCTTATCGGTTGGCAGTCTGGAGAGAGCTGAATTCTATTTGGGTTCTGCTGTAGACTTCCTGAGTAATTTCAGACAAATCCTTAAAATCTCTGTGTCTCAGTACTTCCTTTTGTAAAACAAGGATAGTATTTCTCTACCTCACATGGATGTTGAGACTTATTCATTAGTCTTTGCAAAGTTCTTTGAGAACCTTGTATGGAAATTGCTATAAAGCATAAAGAATTTCTTTTGTGTCCACATCCATAGGCATGAGTATAGTGGTATCCTGAGGTACAGAGAAGATTGCAGGTCTCTAAAAACCGGAGCAGTGCTGCTCAGCATTGTTGGCAAGAATCCTCAGTGGCGTGTTCAAAAGAGAGCCAGGGTTGGCTTTGTTACCTAGAGGATGAAAAAGGAAAGTTAATAAAATTACAGCCTTCAAGTAGTAATGAGTAGAGTATGATATTTGTTACATTAGGTACTTCTCTCCTCCTAAATTATAAAATATTTTCCTTGACTCTTACTTCATAAGCTTTACATTTAAAAATATAAAATCAGTGTATTTCTGGAGAAAACTAGAGTTATCTAATTTGGTGTTGATGAAGATGAGCTAGTTTTAATTTTAAAAATTGATAGTGTATAAATTCTTTATTGAAGTACTTACAGTCAGAAAGAAAAGTGTTTGTGTTTCTTAACTTGCAGTTAAATCTATCGCGGTATTTAATTTTCTATTATGAGTTGGTTTTTTTCAAGTGAGGTTTGGATGATTGAGTTTTCCAGTATGTAAATCTTCAGTTTTCAACTATAGTAACGTAATAAAACATTCATTAACACTATGAGATCTCTATTCGTGATGAAGACTATTTTCTTAATGTCATTTTTACTTTATAGGTCGTATACGAACAAAGCTTTCAACACCGTCTGTTGGAATTGGAAATTCAAAGACAGATTCTAGAGGACGTAGTCGAACGAAAGTGGTCTCTCAATCTCAGCGTATGTATTTATCAGTAATACTTGATAAAAAGATAGGCCATATGCTTAGCATACATTCATTGACCAATGGCAATGGTCAAAGCTAATATAAAAAACATAAGCCGCATACTGAGTTGTTGTTCTGTGCCTTAGGTTCATCATCGCCAGACAAAAATGAAGGTATTTTTTTTTTTTCGGTGCTTTGGGTCAGTAGTATTTGCATGCTTTTGAAATCTTTGATAATTTGTGTTGTCATATTTTTCGGAGAAAAATTAGGGCTAGTTCACCCCTTAAAATAGGTTGTATAACAGGTAATAGGTTGTATTACTACTTTGTAGTCTTAAAAAACCCCAGCAAAATCTTCTGTACTAACTAGCTAGAATACTTAAAAATGTAATATCAGAAATTAGGTTAAGTGGGTGGTGTCTTTTTGTACTTATAGATGACCTGAAAATCCTAGTTCTTCGGTACCCAAATCCTCTTATTTTTTAGTTAATAGTAGTCTAAAAGTATAATTCAGTAATTGTGTTTTCCCCTCTACTTTTCACTATAAAGTAGACACTGCCATTGCCACCTGGGTGCACTCTAGTTTCCTACATATCGCCAGTATCTTTACTCCTCAACTTTCCTTTTGTTTTGCATTTAATTTTTCTTTTTAAATTCTTCACTGAGGGTTTTTCACTGGGACTTTTTTCTACCTCAGCAGCAATAGAAATAGTTTAATTTTGGAGCTAAAATTATTGGTGGTGGTTATTTAAAATATACAATGTTTTAAAAGTGATTTATGCTATGTAGGCTTTAAATGATTTTTAAAATTTTGAAATGACAGTGCATTCTTAAGGTTTGAAATTAACAATATGTATAGGCTTGGAAGGATTAGATATTTATCAGTAAACGTCTATTTCACTGTACACATATAAACCAATGAAAAAATATTTCCACTGATGATGATTAAAACTTACAGACAGACACCATAAGAAAAATGATGTTTGAGAATTTATTAGAGTTTGATTTAAGGATATTTACTTTGCATATTTTGACATGTGATGTTGACAGTTTGTTTTTTAACAGTTATAAACCTTTAACTTCTTCGAGAGATGGTCTCTGTTGTATTCCACTGAGGGTTTACGCATGCACACCATGCATCCAGAGCTAGAGAATTTGAAAATAGTGTCCACTGGTCCATGCGTGAGCCCTGGTTTGCTTCATGATTTCATCTGAGGTGATAAAAGGCGAGGCGGAGCAACCGCGTCTTCAGTTCCTTCTCATCACCGCCTGGTCCAGATTGGAACTTTCTGTGTCTTTGTCTTTGAAGCACTTTTAAAAACATGGTTGTACATAGTTTTAGAATTTTACAATTTATAATGTTTTTAGCTGTTTTATCGTAGTTTATTGTAATGTTAGTGATTAGGATAGATAGTTGGGGGGGGGGTGTTTTCCCTACCCTCCCTCCTGCTCTTCCCAGTACTCTCACGTGGGTACAATGCCTAAGACTCTGAGCTTCAAATTCTGTGCCTCCTGCCTGTGTTCCTTCTCAGTCAGCGACAAACACCAGTGCTGCCTCTACTGCTTGGGAGAAGCCCACATTACATCACGGTGCAATATTTGCCAGTCTTTCCACAGCTGTACCCGAAAAGGTTGGGGCCTTTGCCTCCAGAAGCACCTTATGAAAGTCTCCATGAGGACTCGCTTAGACCCCGGCCAGGGAAATCCACCCCACCCCATCCCACCCCAGTACATCGGTCTGAAACAGCTAGGTACGCATCTCTTGCTACTGTGTCCGGATCCAGCACTGGTGGTACTACCATTGTGGACCTCACGCCGGGGACTAGTCTGGAGGTAAGGAAGCATTCCCATAAGTGTGGCGTTAAGTTTTCCTTGAAAACAAAGAAAGAAGATACTGCTTCCATGAGTTCGAGTCACAGAGAGGGAGTGCACTCTAAAGTGCATAAACACGAAAAGAAGTCCCACAAGCAAGGGGATCTGGTGGTCCCAGGTACCAAACTGTAGGTACCGTCAACATTGGCACCCCATAAAGTGTGGGACCTGTGCAGTCCAGGGAAGTCCACTACTCCACCACCACTTACCCCTGACATCAGGAAGATTGGGAAAAGCACCCGAGCCCCAGGTCATCTTCATTTTAGAGGAACCGAGATTGTCTCGCATGTTGTGATCCTCGACCTCTTGGGAGACTTTCTCCCCCTCATGACATGCCACCCCTCACCTCCTGCTCCAATGGTCTACACGCTTCTGCCGACTCTGATGGTACCACCAAAGGAACTGTAGTCCACCTTCTCATCTTCGGAAGAGTTGGATGATGGAAAGGGACCATCAATTCCCTTCAGCAGTACATGTATTCTAGAAGGCCATCTGGATCGTGCAATACCATATGATGAACCACCATGGACCCACTGGTTCCCCACGCAAGGGGATCTGCCTCAACTCCCTCCAGATTGAGCATACTGGCCTTATTGTGGGCAATGGTCCCAATACTTCCCTCTCAGAACTCACCTGGTCCGCAAGGGAGACTTCATCTGTCTCCCCATTAAAGGGGCCGTTGAGTAGAAGCTCAGATCCAATCCTGGAAGAGAAGCCCTTTAGCCCAGTTCCAACAGTGCCACTGGAACCGGAGAGATTCCCTTCCTCTTCCCCAGACAAGGCAGTGACTTCAGCGTCCCCTTTGCCTTTAGCTAATTCCAGGGTCTCCTGCATGGAGTAGTGGGGGAGCTTCACATCCCCTTGGAGGAAATCCGGGATACACAGCATAAACTCCTGGATATTCTCCATTCATCTGCACCAACTAGTGTCGCACTGCCCATCAATGATGCTGACCTTAAACCAGCTGATATGGCACACAACGGCCACATGCACACCTACCTCCAAGGGAAAAGCAATGATATGTTCCATCTAAGGGGTCTTAGTTTCTTTTCTTACACACAGCCCGAACCCACTTGTGGGTCAGGCAGCAACTGAACAATCCAGGCAACAACACGCACCTTCCACATCATCCATCAGAGAGGGCAAGCAATTGGACCTTTTGGGCCGTAAGGTCTTTTCCTTGGTCAGTCTCCAATTCAGGATTTTGAACTATCAGGTATTACTAGCCAAATATGTTTTCCTGAATTATAGCAAACTGGAGGAATTTGCTGAAAACGTCCTCCGCAAGATTGGGCTTATTTCCAGGTGATCATAGAGGAAGGGAAGCTGGTGGCAAGAACAATGCTCCAACCAGTGGTGGATGTGGCAGATACTTCTTCCAGGACTATGGCTGCAAGCATAGTCATGCGGAGGGGATCGTGGCTCCACTCCTGTGTTTTTCCTCGGGAGGTACAGAACACTATAGAAGACTTCCCTTTTGATGAATCCCATCTTTTTAATCAAAAACTGATGATTCCCTTCATACTCTCAAAGACTCCAAAACTACCCTATGTTCTCTGGGTATTTTTATGCCTGCTCCGAAGTGTAAGCTTCAGCACCTGCCACCCACACTATGCTACATAGCCTCCCAGTTTTTCCACCAGAGACCTTATGCACATCCACAGAAGAGACAAAGGACAGAGATTCCCACCCTCCGGGACCACCTTCACAGGCTTCCTCCTTGCAGATGCAATCCCCAGCTAAAAGGTATTTCGAAGACATTCTTGACAGCTGTCAGCCATCTTGCCCCCTTAAGAGGCCATGCAACCATCTTACCCCCTTAAGAGGCACTCTTTTTCCAAGCTTGGAGTGCAATAACAACAGACACATGGGTGCTAAATATCATCCACCATGGCTGTATGATTGAATTAATCACGCTACCTCCTCCACAGCCCCCCGATCCCTCCTCAGGGTCTACCGTCATGACAGCATCTTCACCCAAGAAGTGAACTCCTTACTACAATGGGGAGTGATAGATGGTGTTTCCTTGGAATATCACGGGACCGGATTCTATTCAATTTACTTCCTGATACCTGAGAAGAAAGGCAGACGGAGACTAATTCTAGACCTCCAGCTTTTCAGTCGCTTAATTCGCAAGCCCAAGTTTCGTATGGTCACACTAGCAGCAATTTCCCATCACTAGAAAAAGGCATGTGGGATCTCAATATGCAACACGCTCTCACATAGACATCCATCCAGCCCACAGATGATTCCCCATTTTCACGTCTGCTCCATTTCCAAAACAGGGTTCTCCCTTTCGGACTAACTACTGCTCCCAGTGTCGTCTTCAGGGTTTTTGCAGTCATGGTGGCCTACATCAGACGTCATGGAGTCCTGGTATTCCCATATCTCAACAACTGGCTCCTGGCTGCTCAGTCCAGACGCAAAGCCTAAGTTTCAACATCCGTGTTGCTCAGCCTTCTTTCATCCCTCGGGATCAGTATCAGTGTTTAAAAATCAACCTTGGACCCCACACAACCCACAGGTTTTATAGGGGCCACAATCAACTCAGTCATAGCACAGGCCTACCTACCAAGGGACAGGTTCCATACACTGAGAGAACTCATAACTTCCGCTAACAATCCTTATGTCCATGCCAGGACTTGTTTGTCGCTCCTTGGCCACATGGCTTCTTATACATATGTCACCACCTTCGCTCAACTCCATCTTCGCTGCCTCCAGATGTGGCTTCAAACTGTTTTCTCGCCCAGCCATGGAGCTCGTGCTGACAGTCCCTCCAGTGTACTCTCAGCCTTCCAGTGGTGGATGGACCCACGTCATGTCTGAATAGCGGTTCTCCTCCTTCCCGGACAAGACGATCATCACCGATGCATCCCTCATAGACTGGGGAGCACACATGGATGATCACATGACACAGGGAACATGGACTACTCAGGAATCCAGGATGAACATCAACATCCTGGAAGTCCAGGCTGTAAGGAAAGCATGTAAGAAAAGCCTTTCATCTGTTCCCGTCATGTTCTTATCCTGTCGGACAACACCTCCACTGTTTTCCACATCAACAAACGGGGGCAAAGGTCAACCGTTCTGTGTGTAAAAGCAGTCAACCTCTGGAACTGGTGCATCACCCACTTGTCTGCAGC